CATGGCCTAGTCATGGGTAGACCATAAAGTACTTCAGTAATGACTCGATTCATCAAAGTGCATATAAGGAATTATTTACAAGTGTACACCATGCCACCATCAATATGTAGGGAGAGGTAGATGATAAATGTGAGTTCCTACGAGTCAATACAAGAAATCTCTCCCATATGCAAAGTACCTACGAACTGTTGTAGTAAGTGCAACCTCCCACATGACGCTATAGAAGATTCGTCATATGCATAACTTGCTACATACCAACAAATGTAGAAGATTCGTGATGAATGCAAGCATCTGTAAACAATATCAGAAGGCTTACATTCCCTGCAACTTGCTTGTAAACAACAAAGTCTCTTGCAAACATGCCAAACAGATAAAGGGCAGATGATATGTAGCAAATGCAAATGTCCACAAGCTCTTATAAGGGGCCCACTCTATACATCATGTAACATTTGCAAATAGAAATGAAAGAATGCAACAGATGTAAACTTCTTCGAGTTATCATAGAAGACATAAAAAAATCCAGAATAGCCCTAACGCGCACCGTAGTTTGTATACACATAAATACACAAAGGGGTAAATACAATTATAAAAACCGCATGGGCACCGACGAGCGTGTTTTTGATACACACGTGATGTCTAGGGAAGCTGCACGGGCTAAATGATGAATATAAGTTCGAACTCGATCATTCTCGACACGGTTCGAACCATTAAATAAATATATGATCGCGAGGTCGACCGTGATAGATTGTTAATATTATAAGTGCTTATGCTCCTTAAGTAGGTTTGGATATGAGTTCTAAATTAAAATTTTGGAATGACTTAGGATAATTATTACAAAAGATACTTCTAGAAGAAAGAGTTTTTATTGGAGGAGATTTAAATGGACATGTTGGTAGAGAGTTGGATGATTTTAAAAACATTCATGGTGGCTATGATTTTGGAACAACAAATGAAGGTGGCAAGGCCATATTAGATTTTTGTTTAGCTTATGATTTTTCAATTGCTAAAACCTTATTTAAGAAAAGGAATGAGCATCTCATCACTTATAAAAATGGATATAATACAACCCAGATTGACTATTTTTTATAAAAAATTAGATCATTTAGATTGCAAAGATTGTAAAGTTATTCCGAGTGAAAATTTATGTACCAAACATCGATTATTAGTTTTGGACTTTAAGATAAAGGGCTAGATGATAAAAAATAAAGTAAAATGATATTCTAGGATCAGATGGGGGCATTTAAAGAATATTAACAAAAATATTTTTAAGAGTAAGATTTTAGATCTTAAGATTTTATGTATGCATGAGGATGCTAATGTTATGTGGGAAAAAGTGGCTAGTGATATTAAGAATATTGCAAAAAATTTGCTTGGAGTATCAAAGGGAAAAGTTCCTAATAGTAAAAATAGTTGGTGGTGGAATCCAAATGTGCAAAAAAAGATTAAGAATAAGAAAATTTATTATAAAAATTGGTTTAATTTTAAAAATTTTGATAATTGGGAAAGATATAAAGAGGCTCGTAAGGAATCTAAAAAAGCAATATGCGATGTTGTTGTTGTTGTTGTTGCAGCTGTCTCAAACAAAGGTATAAAGCCTACGAAATCCGATCCCTTATCAACAAGTTGATAGGGTCGACAAGGTTTAATACAAAAATAGAAATGACGTCAAAGTCACCCGATGATGGCCGCGTTGGATGTAGATCTCAACCGGAGGGGTTAATTTCAAATATTTCAAAATGCCATCCCAAGTACCCGAAATCCAAAATTTCCAAAAATCCCAATATTTAAATGCTTAAAATTGAAATAACACTATCAACCACTTAAAACAAATCCAATCCACCCTGCGCAATAGTTTATCGGGGTGGACAAATTGGAAAACTAGTTCAGCTCACATAGAGCTAATGCCTCATCGAAAATATCACTAGAGCCCATTCTCAAACAATCTCCTGCTAGTAACGACATGGTACGTGTCCTCTGAACGGCAATTTTTCTTGCAAATGGCACTGCAGGATAAACTGTCATACTCGGGGCCCTCTGAACCGAGTGGTTTTGCCGCCAAATGTCACCACAAAATACCGGTTATGTCCAGAGCCAATACGTTCCTTAAGTACATCAAATCCTTGAGATATTAATCAATAAGATATGATCGATAGGGCACAAAGCCCTCTGTTAGCTAAGGTGGATTCAAATTTGTCCACTTAGACAAACATCTACCCAGGTCTACAAGGTCCCCTTGGACAAAGCAAACCCATGGCTGTCGACAAGGATCTTTCTGTTAGGTTTGGTTGACTACCTCCTCTGACTAAGTAGACCAGGGACCACGATAGACCGGGACAACAGAACCATGGGATCTTGATCGGGTCCATCATCCCCCACCCTCCGCTTTCAGTACAAGATGGTGAAATTTCCAATTTTAAATATCAAATCTTCAAACATTCAAATCCCTATGCCCATGCTGCTATTATATGCCTGATACTACGTATCTATGGATACAACGTATCTGATTCTGATTGACGACTAGCCTTAATTGAAAGTTCTCACTCATGATCGAGAGGAGTAATTAATTATAGGGGGCTTGCGCCTATAGGAAACCAGAACCCAGATCATAAAGTCCTCGTGAAATGAGGGCGAAATCTTTGGGTAGTGTCTTATCTACAAACCCAACTGCCTTTCAAATTTACCCCGGAACCCCCCCGCCCCCCCTATAAAGGAAAATCAAAGCGGGCGGAGGCCGGGGCCGAATTTTTGGAGCCCAAAAGTTTTTAGCCTAACTTATTCGGCTTCTACTTGTGAGCGTATTTGGAGCACCTTTAACTAAGTTAATATAAAAAGAAGGAATCAATTGATTGTAAGATGTATGAATAAGCTTGTTTATGTTATGTGTAACAAAAAAATTTGAAGAATAAGCTTCTCAAATTATAGAAGCAAAGAACTGCTGATGATTAATTGAATCCATTGGTTTTTGATGACTTAAAATTTAATGATGAATGAATAAAACAGAGAATTGATGATGTTGTTGAAGTTGAAGATCAAGAAAAGATTTATAATGATGAGGAAAATGAATAAATCAATGTTAATATTGAGAGGTCTATTGAATTTGGAGTAGCTTCTACTTCATAATATATAAAAGGAAGAAATTATAAGTGGGGTTAGAGCTTAAGAAACATTAAAGGTAATTTTAAATGTAATTGATTATTTTTTTGTGTTATTAATTTGTTATTTTATATTACATCTAAAAAATATTAACCATAATAGGGAATAAGAAAAGAATATTATAGCTAAAGAAGATTTTGAAGATAAGTTTGGCATACATTACGAGGATTCTTTTGAAGAATGTCAAAGTGACCATAAGATTGCGTTGGGTCTTTATCCTCAGTGTATTTAATTTGAATATTATTACAAACTTTTGTGTTAATTGTTATAATAATGGTTACTTTTAAACAAATTATTTTGTTGATAGTTTATTTCACTTTTTGTCATTATATATATATATATATTCATTTTAAGGCTTACGCCTCAATCTGTCTTGATGCTTAAGCCTTGTCTCGATAACATAAAATTTTTCGATTATTGATTTCGCCTTTTTAAACCTTGGTAACACTAAAAAAGAAGGAATATATGTAGTGGAGTTATAAATGATGATGATTGATAGCCTGTCTGATGTATGATACTTTTGGCTTAGAAGATCTGTGATACATTTCTTTATATTTATAACTTAAGTCTTAAATCCTATTATCATGTGTGAAATTCTATGCAATCTACTTTTGTTCATTTAGATTTAACAGATAGCTATTATCTCGAAGTAGGGTCATGCTTAATTTTGTAGCTTTAAGATTCTGCTTTAGAAGCATACATATCAATGGCACTAATAACAGGCCGGGCATATGTCAAGGCATGGTACATGTTCAAAATGACGTGCTATTTGTGCACTACAGAGGCAATAGTGAATGGCCAAAAAATTAATATTTACGGATATATTTATTAATTGTATCATTTATTTTATAATTTAATAGTGCTGCCATTACATCTAAATATGCCTTAATTTCTAAAAAAGAAAGCAGAAGTAATTTATGAGAATTTTTTTACATTTCATCAAATCAGTTGATATCACATTTGTGTTATTTGTTATTCACCATTACATTCACGCATTTAAGAGGAAGGTAAAACATCTGAATACATGCTTGCGTATAGGTAATCAAAAGAATGTCGGATATACTTTAGACCACACAGATATTGCATGGAAATATGTAATATTTGTAAATGAATGTGAGAATAACTATATGAATTATATTTTTCCTAGCAAATGAAGAGGATTATAAATTAAGAGATGATGTTGCTAAAGGAAATAATGTTTTTTTGACATAGGATAATGATGATGATAACTACTAGGGAGACTTTTAATTTCTGACAAAATAAATAAACTTAAAAAAAAAAACAACTATAATGCTTTGTATTTTGAATAATTGAGCTGTTGATTATTTGAACTTAAATATCACTTTCAATATTTTATTATCATGATGATTTATCTTTCTAGTCAATAGTATTTCATATTAATATATATATTTTTAATTATAATTATTTTATATTGTGCATCATATTTAAAATAGTGCGCACCATGCTATGTGCTATGATTCCACGGGGAATTTTGTACTATGTTGCATGCCATTTGCCATTATCAAATATATTTAGAAGTACTTTGCATTAAATTTTTCTCATCCGATGGGGCTTTCCAAAGAAACTTTATGTTCTGTTCTGTGTAGGGCCTCACCAACTTGATTGTCGCATGGGTACTGCAAATTTGACCTTGTTGGCGTTTTATAGGGTTGTTTGTTTGATTGCATGCTTGGATTCTATTGATGCAGGGACTTTTATAAGCTACCTGACTGTCCCCGTTTTGTTGTGCTTGTTGTTTTACTACTTTGATGGTTGTATAAGTAGATAAAATTTTGTAAATTTTCATCTAATACTTTACTCATAATTTGTTCCTCGGTGCTTTACAGTTTAAGGAGCTAGCCCAAGCCTATGAAGTTTTGAGCGATCCAGAGAAGAGGGATATATATGATCAGTATGGTGAAGATGCACTCAAGGAAGGAATGGGTGGAGGTGGTGCTGGCCATGATCCATTTGACATCTTCCAGTCTTTCTTTGGTGGAAACCCGTTTGGAGGTAAACCCTTACACTTTTGTGTAATGTTTATGAATTCAGATCCTGAAGAAATGTTGTGTTTGCTGTCATAATCATGCGATTATTATGGTGAATAGGTGGTGGGAGTAGCCGAGGTCGCAGACAGAGGAGGGGAGAGGATGTTGTTCACCCACTGAAAGTCACCTTGGAAGATCTGTACAATGGTACTTCGAAGAAACTCTCTCTTTCTCGGAACGTTCTTTGCTCCAAATGCAAAGGGTGAGTACCAGTTTCTTCTTCAGTTCAAAGGGTTTCTGTTACATACTGAACCTGATCATTACATCAAATGCTTTTCATGTGCTACAGGAAGGGATCGAAATCCGGTGCTTCAATGAAGTGTTCTGGTTGTCAGGGTACAGGTATGAAGGTCTCAATTCGCCATTTGGGTCCCTCCATGATTCAACAAATGCAACACCCTTGCAATGAGTGCAAAGGAACTGGTGAGACCATCAATGAGAAAGACCGCTGCCCACAGTGCAAGGGGGAGAAGGTTGTCCAGGAAAAGAAGGTTCTTGATGTTGTAGTTGAGAAGGGGATGCAGAATGCGCAGAAAATCACCTTCCCTGGTGAGGCTGATGAGGCGGTACGTTTCGATTTGTCCCCTTCTACTTCATTTTCTTTAGGCTAAATATTGTGTTGTCAAACCACCAACATTATTTAAAGAATAATATTGATTATCGAATGAAGTCTGTTTGTTTAAATGTGGTTATAGCAATGTAATATTGTCTAGATTTAATGATATTTTTGTTAATTTTTGCTCTCATTTTAGCTGTGGTCGGATAGTCTGATATGAATTTCATTTATGAAATTATTATGTAAAGAAGCTGCACATATGCAGATGATATGATATTACGGCTTCGTTTGGGACGGCTTTCTCATTGCTTCTTAAAGCAGCTTCTTAGCATAAAAATTAAGTTTTTTTACTACAAACCTGCTTTAAGAAGCAGAAAAAAAAAAACCATCCCAAATGAAACCTACATCTCAGATTTCATCAAACATGACTCCTTTGGATATTTCAAGATGTTGCTGACTACTCTATATTTGTAGCCTGATTGTATCACCGGTGACATCGTGTTTGTCCTGCAACAAAAGGACCACTCCAAGTTCAAAAGAAAGGGCGACGATCTCTTTGTTGAGCACACACTCTCCCTAACGGAAGCACTTTGTGGTTTCCAGTTCATATTAACCCATCTCGATGGCAGGCAGCTTCTTATCAAATCAAACCCTGGAGAAGTTGTCAAGCCTGGTAATCTTTTTTAAGATCAATTCATATTCATATTTATAGCTACTAACTCAATTCATGAGACAATTAATTCACCTATGTACTATGTTCATGTTATAATATCTATAGATCAATTCAAGGCAATCAATGACGAGGGCATGCCCTTGTATCAGAGGCCATTCATGAGAGGCAAGCTTTACATCCACTTCACCGTCGAATTCCCTGACTCGCTGAATCCTGATCAGTGCAAAGCTCTCGAGGCAATTCTTCCTGCAAGGACTCGATCTCAGCTTACAGACATGGAGCTTGATGAGTGCGAAGAGACGACCTTGTATGATGTCAACATTGAGGAGGAGATGAGGAGGAAGCAGCAAACTCAAGCTCAGGAGGCTTATGATGAGGATGAAGACATGCATGGTGGTGCTCAAAGAGTTCAGTGTGCTCAGCAGTAAGGGAAGAGAAATCCATTTTTATGATACTCTTTATCTTGAAATTACCCTATAATAGTAGGCTTTGCTTTGCCAGCCCTGTTGAATCGTATTAAGCATATGGTTGGTTCTCTATTATCTGATATATGACATGATTTTATTATATAAACTAAAGTATTTGCGTGTTCTAGCTGACTGGTCATATGAAGAAGCACTGAGCTTTTCAAGAAAATGTCTTCTTTGCTCTTCAGTTTCAACTTTTTGGTTTGCTTTTTCGTTATGATTGTTGATTGGAACTTGTGATGTTGAGCTGCTGGGAACCTGGAACTGAACTGATTTGTTCAGTTCATTTTGTTTTTTGACCATTTTGGGTTGCTGTTCAAACCAATAAATTGGTGCTTCTGCTCATTAAGTTTGGGTTGAGAATTTTGCTCGAATGCTCTTCGGTTGAATATTATTCAATCTGAAATAAATTGATTTTTATTTTGAGTGCCTATATATATACATAGAAGAGATTTTTTATGTGAAAAATTTAATGAAGAAATTATGGAGATTATTCCAATTAAAAATTTTCTATTATTATGAGTTAACGATTATAAAAGGTGTAATTTTTATAATTTAAATCATGCATGAATACAGTATGATAGGAATGAACCTTGACCAATCTCTTGTGGTGGTAAGAGGTTAGAGATGATAAGAGTTGTCCTAGAATAAATGATTATATAGGACATTAGTTTATATGCATAGAATGTATTAATATAATATATTAACTATGAATCATGAACGATGCCTCTTTAGGTGATGATAGTCTTTTGATGTCAAGTAATCATCGGTGGTGGTAGGTACTCAATGTAGCCAGATTATCCGAGTTTTTTAATATTTTTGAAGTGATTTTTTAATATAAAAACTATTTGAACAAAATTTTGGTAATATAAAGTTTTATTTGAAATTATTACAAAAGTTATTTCAAACAAAGCCTAAGACTAAAAAGGAGGGTAATAGATGTTAGTTGTAGGTTGATATTTGATGAGAAATATTGAATATTAGACAACAATAGATGGTTGGCTTGGTCACACTCTTTAGTTCAAGAGGAGATCAAACAATAAGGAAGATAGTGTTAGATGTTGCTAACTAATTGATGTTAGTTATTGAAAAATATTGGATGATAATCAATGAGAGACATTAGAAGCCCTATAATGGTGAAGAATGACTTGATATTCTTCTAATAAAAAAGAAAATCAAGCACATTTAAGATGTGAATCAAATGACAATAGCATGTGTCAGATGATTAGTGCGATTAGTTTATAGGTTTTACTCATATTGAATGACGGTGGATGAAGGATGATTGAAGTTGGGCAACAATGGGTGGTTGGATTTGTTGCTTTCTTGGTAGGAGTGGGGATCAAACAATTGGTAAGACAAGCATTGAATGCTAGTGATTGGTGGATTTCAAATGTTGATTATTGATGTGTCAAATGATAACTTATCGAGAGCATGAAGCATAAGAAGAATGATAAATTTATACATGTTTGGTAACATATCCATTTATGAAAAGTTTCTTAAATTAGATTGATGCATCATGCCATCAACATTATTATCGTTGAGAATTTTTATTATCATAATAGTGCAAATTTTGAAGAATACAATAACTATTAAAATATGAAAAAATAGCATCATTCAAAAATATAAAGAATAAAAATAATTACACTTAAAAGAAGCATTGAATGATGACCAAAGGAACGATGTTTACATAAGGGAAGATTGCAAGACCAATAGGAATGAATGAATGAAAAAAGTTAGAGGTCGATAGTTGATGGATGCTAAATTTCGATTATTTTCAAGCATCAAATGATGACTAAAAAAAAATGATGAGTCAAATAATAGCGGGAGGTTAAGTTAGTTGCTCACTTAATTGGAGGCAAGATTGACAATCAATAAGAGGAGCATCAAACATCATTGTTGGTTGGTTTTTTGACAAATATCAATGAGAAATATTGGAAGTTATGCAACGATAAGCGTGATCGACTTGGCCATTCTTCTACTAGTAGGAAGATCATGAAGATGGTCTTTGGATATGGATGTCATTCATTCACAAAAGTCAAATGATGATCAACATATAATAAAGAAAGGTTGGTGACATTAGGTAGTTGGCTTAATAATACTCCTAATATGTGGGGAGATAAGACTATTGGAAAAAAGAGCATCAAACATCAGTGATTGATGGGTGTCAAATGTTAATGAGTTGTCAATCATATTAGGTTAGTATCTGTTTATCAAATATTTTATCACTTTTATCATCTTTTGGCAAACGATTTATTGTAATTTAAATTATATATTAGTATACTAATCTCTTATAAGCTCTTATCTTATTTACAACTCTTTTTTACATCACAAAAATTGAATTTCTTTGCCAAAGAATATATGTGCATACTACAAGCTTTAGCTAGAGTTTAAAGGGTTGCCCACAATTGTGTATGCCACAAAATTGTGCATGTGCATTCTTGAATTTGTGTTTAAAGGTCAATACACAATGTACAACATGAATTTGGATGAACTTAATAAAAAATAATTTTATAGAACTTTATACATCCTTAAAATTATATTTAAGGGGATGTACACATCTACTTAAATTACAAAAAAATGAATAGATTTGTTAAAATAAAAATGTATATATGTTTGCACAATCATTAATTTGAGTTTATAAGATTATACACATAACAAAAATTGGATGAAATCGTTTAAAAAATATAAATGCATATTTATGTACAATCTTGAAATTGAATTTAAGATTTTGAACATCTATGCAAAACACAAAAATTGCATAAACTTGCCACAAAAATATATGTATATAATTATGTATGGTGTAAAAATTAAATGTAAATGATCTTTTACACTTGTGTACTCCACAAATATTAGATGAACTTAGTAAACAAATAAATGTAAACATTTTTGTATATCCATTAAAAGCATGTGCACACCTATGTATGTTATAAAAATTGGCTGAACTTGCCAAAAAAAACTATACGTGCATCCATATGTGCTACTCATTTTAAATGTGAGCACAAATAAGTTTGGATTCAAAAACTAATGGTTTGATTTTTTATTTTTTTTAAGAAATGACTTCAAATCAAAATTAATGAAGAAATTTGTTACTTGGAAAATCAATATTCATAGTACATGATTGATTAAAATCTAAGTACTTATTCTTGAAATTGGATCAATTGGTAAGAACATCACCAAAATAGTTAAAAGTTTTATTAGTATCAATACTCAAACATAATTTGATTTCTATAATAGAGGTTTAGATATTTTATTTCATGCATTTCAATACATTATTAGAGAAAATAAAAACATTTTTCTTGTAGGACATAGATATAAAAATATTTAGTTGAATTTATAAACACATCATGTTATGTGATTAATAAGGTGAATTTTATACCAATACTTAATAAGACAATATATGAATATGTTCAATGGAAAGAAACCTAAGATTAGTCATCTTTATACATTGGTTGTAAATATTTTATTTTATCTTGAATGTTGGATGGGGGATTATAGGAAAATTTGATAGAAAATCAAATGGATGAATTTTTCGTAGAAATTCAACTTTTTCCAAAACATACAAAATATTAAATAGAAGAAAATAGGTTGAGAAGAATTAGCACATGCTATTTTCAATAAGAACTTTTTTACTCCATTATAAATGATATATATGATGATGGTATTAAAAGAGCTAATAAAATTAGTTTGGAAGATGAGAGAGTTGATTAATTATCCAATATATGAAAATATGGTAAGAATCATCAAAAGGAATTCATTATTAGTGATCCATTTTTAACTATTAAGATCATTTATGTCTAAAGTTGAACAAATACCTATAGATGACTCTTTAGAAGATAAGTTATGGATACTCAATATAGAAGAAGAACTAAACAAAATCGGTAGAAATGATACTTGAAAATTCGTCCCTAGACTTTAAAGATAGAAATTTATTGAAACTAAGGCTTCGTTTGGGACCTTTCTTACTGCTTTAACAATTTCTTGAATTAGAAATTTTCGTGCTACAAAGTTGCTTTAGATAACAGCAAGAAAGTTGTCCCAAATGAAGCTTAAGCAATCCTATACGATTAAATTGGGTGGCTCATGATGCATTATTAGAAACAAGACTAGGTTAATTTTATAGTTTTATGCCAAGTTAAGGAAAAATATTTCGAAGAATCCGTTGAGCCCATAGTAAGAGTAAGCGATCATTAGGTTGCTGAATAATCTCATAATGGTAGTTGATGACTTTTTCATATCAATGTGATATTTTCAAATCTCCTATAATTTCATTATATGTCAAATAAGTCATGAATAATTACAAATCTTAAAAATAAAAAATAAAAAAAGAAAGTCATGAATAATGATAATAAATCTGCCTTCTTCTTTGTTCTTACAAAGTGGTAAAAAAATGCCTCCTTTTTCATTTATTTTAGACTTTATGATTTCATTAAAAACAATTTGTTAGCAAGTCATTAACTTATTTTTACAACCTTCCAAATCTCAAAAGGCGTCTCTTATGAACCTAAAATTGTATTTGTATGCATCATCTTCATATCTAAATTATTTAATTCAACTCTCTTCCTAACCTCACTATGCATGGTACTTCTATTCTTCATATTCTTAAATAAATAAATAAATTTCTACCTCTCCTTTAAATGTCTCATAGTACTATTTTTCTTTGATACCTTCTTTTATTAATACCTTCTTAATACATCTATTCTGACAAAATTGTCTTGAAGATACTGCTTAGAAAAAACATTAGCTAACAAAAAATATTTCAAGTCCTTGAGTATGAAACTATTATATATGTTACAAGTATAAATTTAAGGTTTCATTTGGGACATCTTTCTTATTAATGATTTTTTTTAAGGTTCTTAATGCTATGTCGAAGAAATCTAAAAAGTAAATGATGAGAGAACTCAACTTTTTTATTTGGACTTCAGGTTAAGTAACAAGAAAAAGACACCTTCATATGCCAAACAAGACATACAAATGCAACAACAAAAACAATATCAAGCCTTTGTCCCACTACGTGGGGTCGACTACTTGAATCTTTTTTCGTCATTGTCCTGTTAAAAGTCAAATTATCATTTAAATCTAATAAAGAAAGATCATTTCTAATATTTTCTAACCAAGACTTTTTAGGTCTACCTCTACATTTATTAACATAAGTCAAATCTAATACCTTAA